GACGGTAGCACTGGGACCTTCGGTGGAGCTCCCTATGGGGCCACGAAACGCTGTACTGGGTGGGGAAAATGCCAAATTGGGCTTCCGGGACGCATGCGGACGGGGGCACTGGGGCCTTCGGTGGAGCTACCTATGGGGCCACGAAACGCTGTACTGGGTGTGCGGGACGCATGCGGACGGTAGCGCTGGGACCTTCGGTGGGGCTCCCTATGGGGCCACGAAACGCTGTACTGGGTGTGCGGGACGCATGCGGACGGTAGCACTGGGACCTTCGGTGGAGCTCCCTATGGGGCCACGAAACGCTGTACTGGGTGTGCGGGACGCATGCAGACGGTAGCACTGGGACCTTCGGTGGGGCTCCCTATGGGGCCACGAAGCGCTGTACTGGGCGGGTGAAACGCATGGTAGAGGGAGGAGGGAGGAGGAGGGGGAAGAGGAGGAAGAGGAGAAACGCGGGGACCGTCTCTTCAAAACGAGGGCCCAACACCACAGGATGGTTGGGAAATAATGCCACACTGGCTATCCTCACACAGAAGCTGTGGCCATGGCACAGGCCTGAAGCACTCCGGGTTTCACGCGGCAACATGGAGGAGGGAGGAGGAGGAGGAGGCGGAGGAGGAGGAGGAAGAGGAGGAGGAGGAGGAGGAGGAAGACGATAACGAGGACAACGACGAGGGCGAGGAGGAGTGGAGGACGTCCGACCTGCTCAGGAGCTCTGAGGGTGTAGAAGGGAAACTGGCTCTGGGGGGAGCTCAGCTTGGAATTGGTCGTTCGCTAGAACAGGAGGTTTTGCCAGCTGGCGTAGCCCTTCCGTCTCTGTCTCTCTCTTTCCCCTGAGGCGTGCACGCTCTCCTGGCTTGTCCAAGGGGGGCCATCCAAAGATCCTTGGTCGGTCTCGGTGGAGGTTATGGTCGCGTGGCTATCGACCCCCTAGCAAAAAAAAGGAATGCCCGTGTCGGAACTGCATTGACCATTCTCCACCGCTACTTCACGAATGACAAGCCGCATCTACATCGCAGAGCGGTGGTGCGCTCGTGCTAGGCGTGTATGGCCAATTATGTACGCTCGGCGCGAGCGCACCTCCCATCCGCGGCACGCGGTGATCGATGTGAAGGACAAGACTTGGGACAGCGAGGACGGCGAGGAGGGGGAGCGGGGGGAGGGGTCAGGCTCTTAGGGGGGGGAGCAGGAGGACGCGCAGGAGCGAGGGGGGAGGGAAGGAGAAGTAGGGAGGAGGAGAAAAAGGAGAGGAGAGGAGAACACGGAGCGAAGGGGTCATACACCAAAGCACACAGCAGCGAAAATGCACAAGTCACAAATACTGAAACTCGTGTTGCGAGATGTTCAGCTCCAGAAGTTGAACATAAGTGGAAGAACGCCATGCTTTCATGTCTGCGAGTTGCGAAGCCCTGTGTCCCGATTGTCTGCTCAGCATCCAGAACCCAAAAAGTATTGACACTCATCATCGTGAGCGAACTTTTTGGGTTGCATTGAGTTCCCTGTCGCTTCGGGATCCTCCTCTTGGAAGGGACGTCCCTGGAGACCCCTTCGGGCGGCTCCGGTCAAGTTCTGCGGTACACAAAGCACACTACAACTACTGGACTTGAAAACAGCTTGTGCACACGATGGCCTCACAGACTGCGGATGTGAACGCACTGCTTGTTAAGCTTATTCTTTCTAGCTCACCCCCTGGCTCTCCTGCCTCACCCTCTGGCTCTCCTCCCGTCCATTGCTCCTCCATCCCTCTGCCTGCTGAATCGTTCTCACTGTCGAACCACTAG